TAAAAACGAACATCAGAATCGCCAGAAAAGTGATCACTGGGCAATGCAGCACTGGTCAAAGCAAATGAAAAAGTTCTTTAGCTGCACAGCGTAGAGAATGACTATACGAAAAACATCCAAACAAAGCTTTTCCCTAAAATTTTTTTTTTCAAAATTTTCTTTTAAAAACTAGGTGAAAGCCATTCGGTCCCCCTCCCTCCCTCTCCCCTCCCCCCCATCCCCTCTCCCGAAGAAGTGCCAAAACCAGTTCGCGAATCCAGACAAATCAACAAAAAAAGCGTTCAGATTCAGAAACACCAAGGCCATACAAGCTATTGATCTGGAAACCCTTTATGTTAGTGATATTACTGAGATGCCCCGCACATTCAAGTATAACTGTGCTAGGCTTTTCGATCCCGGGCTACATACTCGCAGTTAGTACCCACTGTCCAGTCGATATATGTGCGTCACCTCTTGAATAACTTCCCGGGTTTATTTACTTGCAGGTACCACTCACTAATACGCATTGTCGATCGGTTGTCAGCAAGTTGAGTGACATAACCTGCTAATCAGATTTCATCTTCTTGCATGGTCGTAATGATATCCTGCACATAGCTCGTCTGAGCCAGAATGAGGACATTTATTTTATTCTTTAAAGCGAAAAAAAAAAAAATTCGGAAGCCAACCTTCTTTGGTCATTCCCATTTCGAGGCATTTCTTATAGCGACAGGCACGGCATGCTTTCCTTGCACCCTTATCGACTTCACAGTGCTCCGAGCTTTTGCATTTTATATCTTGCCGATGGACCACTGCCCTGAGACGGAAAAAAGATACAAAAAATGCACAAAATTAACAACTCGTTGGAATCTTTGAGGTAGAATTCACTAAGTTTCGATTCTTTACTACTTTTAATCCACGCTTTGTAACTCATGGTAAAAATTCTGTTATTTGAGTACAAATTCAATTAAATTAGACAATAATTAGATTCAGTCGACTAAGAAATTTGATCGGAAGAAACCTTCGGAAAAATGTTTTGCAACCGAGACAAGCGATCACACCATAGTGTTTGCCTGTTGAATCTTCGCCACAAATGACGCATTTTCTAATCACAGGTGCTGAAAACAAACTCTTTTTTTTTTTTTTTTTGCTCAAAGAACATACATTATAACACACCAAACCACATACAAAATTATGTGAACATAGCCGAAAAAACAAAATTACCATCGCCAACTTCGACTGAAGACGCAAAATTCTGGCATGAAAAGCTATATAAAACTTAGCTCGTCTAATCGCTAAGGAGGGAGAAAACACAGACTGCTTCTTTATGTGTCAGATGCAGCATACGATAAATATGTCATCTCCTAATATCTTGGACCAGATGATGGATGATACTCAAAATACACCCAGAATACTTCAAAATGGTTAAAACCATATTTCAGCCGAGAGCCAAGAGATGAACTGGTGTAATCCCTTCAGGAGACAAAGAAAGGAACGTTAGGATCGCCTGCAAAATGAACACCAGGCGATGCAGCATTGGTCAAAACAACTGCAAAAGTTGCCAAATTTTTACACAGCTGGAAAACCAGATTATGAATTAATAGTCTCCAGATAACAGAATTTACATCTCAGATATCAGATTATACATCCCATCTCTTTAGGGTCGAGATGTACACGCAGGATTTCATCTAGGGATCCCCCGAAAAGTCCGAGGGCTATATCTGCGAAATCGTTTCCAGAAAGCAACAGCCCAAAAAGTGAGCTTACTCCAAATACCAAACTATTTTAACTTGCATCACTTTTAACTATTTTAACTTACATCACTTTGAAAAAAATTAATTAAGCGGCTCTAATCGCTCCCCTTCCTGCCTCTCTTCTTTCAGTGATACTTTTTTAATTAAATTTTGAGTTTCTTTGGAAAATTTCACATTCAACAGGGTAAAATCACGAGCCCTTCTATTCAACTTATGCACTTTTCCGGCTTTATTTAGCACCTCCTCCTTTAAGCCTCCTCCCCTTCTCCTTCTCGTGCCCCCGCTCTCTCACAAAAAAATAATAGTCTTCACTCCGTGGTACTAAATGGTAAGTGAATTGTTAGACCAATGCACAAAAAAAAAAGTATTAGAGGCCCAAAAAAAAGAGAATTCAGGGCAAATTCAGAGTAGAGAAAAAAAGGAAAATGAATAAAAAAAAATTTACGTTGACGCGTAGTGGCGGAACACATGAAGTGTAATACTGCTGCTACCGTTGTTATACATGTGCTACAGTTGAATTCGACACACTACAGCATGCGCCTCATGATGATAAAAACTGATAAGAAAAAACATCCTTCCAATTGCTACTATTTTCTATCAACACAATCTGGAAAGGAATAATTGGGAGGGCAAACTGTTGAGTGGTACTCACGCAATATGTTAAAAGAACACAGGGAAAACCAATACATCAGTGAAATGAAATGAAATAATGCACTTGAACAACCACGCAGAATAAGTAGAAAGAAGTGAATAAAAGTAAAATAAAAAAAAAACAGGAACAGTAACATAAATACAAATGGGAAAAATCAAACTACATGTATATTTAAATTGCATATACATAAAAGTGTCAGCTAGAATAAAGGGCATAACATTGATGCGATGAGCTCCGAACAAACAGAATGGGAGAATCTGCTAGCTGCATCAATGGCGAGAAGAAACGCGACGATGAAACACCAACCGATCAAAGTACTAAAAC